CTGACATATAGTGTAGCTGTTAGCAGCGGAAGCTAATATGAGCTGTACTGACATATAGTGTAGCTGTTAGCAGCGGAAGCTAACGGCTACACCATGAACTGTTGTGACATTTAACTTGAGCTGCGTCACTTAACGGACGGCTTGCTCCAGTTAAAGTAGCAGCGCTGGTTCTGGTTCTGATCCACAGGTCAGCCCCCTTCGGTCAGAGCTGACTTTCCATGTGCCAGTTGTGAGGAAACTTCTCCTCGTTCTGTGTCACTGTGCGTCCAGCAGAATGAGGCGCAGCGCTCCGCCGCAGGATGTTCCGGCGACACTAGCTGCCTCCTGAAGCCGTCTCTGCTGTCGGGTCCTGCGGCAGCTCCTGCGCGCTGTGGGGGCTTCGGTGGAGCGAAGGTCCGGCTGGAAGTGTGGTTTCCTGCAGCCGCGGAACAGGAGGTGAAGATGGAGAACCTGCTGGAGCAGCTGCTGCAGAAGGACCTGGGCAGGAGGCTCCAGGCGGGTCCGGAGGTCCTGGAGCTCCTGCTAGACGAGGAGAAGTGTCCCGACCTGGAGCAGGACCAGACGGCGCTGGACCGGGTGGTGGACGCCGTGGCCAGCTCCTGGGTCAACTCCAGCAACTTCAAGGTGAGGCAGCTCAGGGGTCTGGGCAGCGTTGGTGGTTTGGATCCTGCTGCTGTGGTTGTTCTGGGTCGCTGTGAGCTCCTCAGACTGAAACACAACTAAACCTTCTGTAGAGCCTCCAAACCGAGACGTGTCGCCTTGTGTCCTGGTTCAGTCCAGAACCTGGTCTCTTTATCTGCTCCGTCTTTGTTTTGGCTGTCGTTTGGTGGAAGTCCCTGCTCAGGTTCAGCCCAGGTTCAGGAGCTCCAGCCTGGTTCTTCGTGATGGTATGTTCTGTATGTGCTGTGAGTTTTGGTTTCCTGTTGACAGATGTCAGCTGACGTCTGGTGTGTTCACCGGGTCACTCTCTGTCAAGAGTCCAATCTAAGCTCAGCTGATTGACGAGTGTCTCTGTTCTCAGATTCATTAGCGAGTCATTACCGAGTTGTCTCCAGAGTTTCTTCCCACAGTTCCCACTGATGAAATGGAGGTTGAAGGAGCTGCTGGTTTCCTCTGTGCCTGGTCTGCAGGAGTACAGGAGCGCTGGCTTGTGATTTCTGCAGATGTGAGGCTGCTGCTGGTCCATCAGTACACGGATGACGATGCAGCGAGCGTCGCTGCAGGGAAACGTGGCCCTCTGTCCCGTACAGCATATAAATGAGGTGAAACCTTGAAACAACGGCTTGTGGATTTACATGACTGTTCTCCAAGTTTTCTTCCAGTCATGGTTCGAGGAGTGTTTGGTCCAGATTCCTCTGGATGGGAAGAACAGTCGCACACATATCAGTGGTTTTGCACCGACTCCTTCATGAGGAGGAACACTGACATGTCTGACATCGTCCCAGCTCTTTGTCATGGGTTTATTTCAGTCTTGTGAGCAGTTTATTCTGAGATAAATGAGGCTCTTTTTATTTTAATGAATAATTACATGAAGTGACATCAGTAGAAATAACCCCACGCGGTGATGATCACTCTCTTGACACCGTGGTCTCACTGCAGGGTCCATTAGTGGCTGTTCTGGAGCTTTTGAACGTTTCACACGATCATCTTCAGCAGTTTTCAAGGACAACTCTTCAACGTGTCCAACATGACATCTTTTACAGGATAAACTCTTGTCTCCTGAGGAAAACCGTGTGATGCGATCCAGAGCTCCAGAACCGCTGCTCACAGGGCGTCATGATGGGACGAGTTCTCCGAATTGTTTGTGAACTAAGTCAGGATTTGGAGGATTGGTTCAGCTTTGCTTCACACAGACTGAGTGGATGTGGCTGTCTGGCCAAACTACTCTGACTTTACCAGCTGCAACACACACGTGCACCGCTGCCCTGGAAACGCAGCATCCTCCAGTCGCCGTGGCGACTGTGGGGCTGTAATGGGGACGAGGCTCCCAGGCGAACGGGCGGCTCCGAGCTTAATTTACCAGCTCCATTAGCCCAGTTTCCTTCCCACTGAGGCCGAGAGGAAGAGCGAGTTCACGGAAAGTCAGCGTGGACGTAAACTTCCCGCCTGGTGGTGAGATGTGCTGTCGTCTGTCGACTGGAGGCTGTGATGTGATACAAGCAGACAGGTTTAGACGAGGCGCTGTCAGAAGAGCTCAGACCTAAACCTGTTTGTTTTCATTAATCTGCAGCTCATTTTCCTGATTGACTGTGTAGGAGTCGAGGCGTGGCAGGACTCCACAGGTCTCGTTCACAGTCACACAAAACTGTGAAAAAGCAAACAGGATACTGGACGTTTTTGCATTTGAACTGACAGAGTTAATCAGTGATCAGTTTGATTGACGGGTGATCCAGCAAATACCCACAAAGCTTCAGCAGACAGATGGTTTGAGCATCAATGCATGCTTCTGATCAGTTTTCTTTAAAATAAAAGAAAATTACCGAACATCTCATGGTTCCAGCATTTGTTTGTCTTTGTATGTGCTCTTTAATAGTCTATGCTGGGCTATTTGGTCAAATAAAGCAGAGAATCTAAATCAGCCAGTGTTGTGGGAAGTTTTCATGAACATATTTCACTGTTTTGTGGACAGAATGAAGTTTAATCATCATCAGGTGCATGAAACACTGTTCACTAGTTATTATCCTCCTGCTTCCAGCGACAAGGAAATCTTTGCTCCTGTGTCAGTAAATTGTAGTTCGGGTGCAGCTCCGCCATGTTGGATTGTAGTTCACATGCAGTTCCAGCTTTCATCCAGCAGATGGAGCCACAGAAGGTCCGTCTCTCTCTGTTGTTTCGCTTGTTCTTATGTTTTTTTACGTGATTATGAGGTTCCAAAAATTGCACCAGAACCCGAACTGTGAGCTCAGGAGGTGCGCATGTGTTGAAATGGTGTCAGCAGGGAAGCTCTCACTAGGCGTTCATCGAGCCTCCCGAACCACCCCATGACAAGGAAAGTTACCGTGAGCGGCGCTGGGGTGATATTCACAGATCCAACTACCGTCTTCAGTCACGGTGGTGGTGAAAACCTGCGGCTTGCCCCGCAGAGCGACGGCCTGGACGTTACTTTACGCGTTGTACCGCATAAAAACTACGTGTTCTGCTCATTTGTCCGTTTATTGGAGCCGAAAGTCCCGTTTTTGCCCATTACCCATAATCCTTTGCGGCCCATATTAAATCCAGCGTCTCATGCTGCCGCTGCTGCCGTCGTGTCTGTTACCTGTCAGCCTGCACTGACTGCTTGTGTCCGTCTTTGTGCTTCTCAGGTGGTTCTGCTGGGGATGGATGTTCTGTCAGCGCTGGTCAGCAGACTGCAGGACAGGTTCAGGACGCAGGTCGGAACCGGTGAGCAGCTCCACTTTGTTTCTGCATCCACGGAACAAACGTTTAAAGTCTGAGTACAAAAGAACCGTAAACTAAACTGATGTTATCACTGAGTTTTATTGATTAGTTAAAGAAATACGATTAACCGGATTGATTTAAATATTGAAGAGAAATATAGAAAATATCTACTTTGCCATGTATGTGTTAATGCGCGAATCATTCTCTATTTCTGCATTTATTTATAATATTACCATATTTAAACGATTATTTATTTGTTTTTAATACTAAGCAGAAATAAAGATAAATCTACAAAAGGCATATTTGTCTTTTTTTGTGCAATAGATCATTCTCTATTTATGCATTTATCTATAATATTACATTATTTATTTCTATTTGGTACTGAATAGAAAAATAAAAGTACAAAATGTATGTTTGCCTTTTATTTTTGCAATAAATAAATAAATCTTTATCTGTGCATTTATTCATCACATTGCTTTATTCAAATAATTCAAATATTAATAGAAATCACAGAAATAAAGGAAAAAATGTGTATTTGCACACGAATAATATCGTGCAGTTAACAATGAGTGAAAAGCAGGATTGACTTGTTCTTCATGCTTCTTCTTGTTGCTTTTCGTCGCCTGTGTGTGTGTGTGTGTGTG